TTTTTTTTTTTTATTATTCATTTATCTATTGTAAGATTTTCAGTTCTCATTCTTTAAAAAAATTAAAGAAATTTAAACGTGATATTTACTTTTAATTACATACATTTTATATTCGGAAATTTTAAATTTGGTTATGTTTAGTTGATTTAGGATAGTTTAGTCAACCTCATTATCTATTAAAGGACTAAATCATACTTAACATTGTAATTGGAATACACAAAGTGCGTAGTATGCAACTAAGTAAGGTTAGGTAATATAAGATTTGACTTGTGTATTACAAAATTCGTAATACTAGTTGATGAGAAATTGTTGGTTAATTAAGTATTTAATTTTGTATTCTCAAATTTTTATTGTTTTATTCAGTATAATTAATTGTGTTGTTGTTGCGTAAACAGATGACTGGTAATTTGGTGATCCAATATCCGCCTATGGAAGCAGACGACAGGAAGCAGAAAAACTATCCAAAATCTGTTCCGTTCATGTGTGCAAACCAAACTGCTGAGGGCAGATCCAAGGTCAGACCAACGAGCGTGCATCGGTTACGACCTGGAGATATAGACGTCATAGGTGCCATAGGTGATTCTTTGATAGCAGGAAACGGAGCCATGGAGGATTGGGCTCTTGGTACCATGATCGAGTACAGAGGGATCTCTTGGTGTGCCGGAGGACAAGAGAGTTGGCGTACTTACCTAACAGTTCCCAATATCATCAAAGAGTTTAATCCAAAACTGACTGGATACTCAACGGGAACTGGGGAATTGCTATCCGCTCATTCGAGATTCAACGTCGCATTTCCAGTTTCTGCTGACGCTGATGCTCTGAGGCAGGCTAAGATTTTAGTGAAAAGGATGAAACAGGATAGGAGTGTAGATTTCAAGAATGATTGGAAGATGGTCACTGTGTTCTTCGGCGCAAACGATCTTTGTTCTGCTCAGTGCTTTGATAGAGAGCAAGCATCGCCTCCTCAGCATGCACGGAAGTTAATGTTAGCTTTGGATTACTTCAGGGATAATCTTCCTAGAACATTCGTCAATCTAATTCCAGTCATTGGTAAGCTATCATTATTACCAAATTATTCTAGAAATTTTATTATCATTAGTATATGTTATTTCGTGAGGTCATTGTCCATTGCCCGCGGGCATCATTTAGCCCGTCTACCATTGTTGTGTGCCCGCAGCAAATTTACCACAAAATAAAAGCTATACGTATAGTTTTAGACAAATAGACTAACCTGTGCGATTGTTATTGAAGGAAAAAGAGAATTAATCGGCTCGCATACATGAAACAGAAACAGTTTAAGAATCTCTAAATTTGTTATGAAAAACTCTCTTTTTTGTAAACTAAAACTATTATTACTTCAGAATTCCTATTACCAATGCGTAGTAATAGTAATTTAGAATTGTTATTTAGTATTACATCAATATTTACTACTTCAAAATTAAGAAAAAACCTGTAACTTTCATAATTTGAAATTTGGAACTATTATTTTATGAAGAAACTCAATGAGACTTGTACTTAATTTTGCAACAACTGCTTATAACTCTCTTTAATACTTAGCACCTGCAATAAAAGTAATTAACTTATTTTTATAGAATATAAAAAAAACTTGTGCAATATTTCTATAATAATGTGCATGATTGCAACACTAATCTTCCCAAATCTTTCTCATCCAGTTAATGCCATTGGTAATCAATAATTGTTTATATTCAACATCCTTTCAAATTATAAATAAAGAACTTGCACATTCTTGCGAAAGATGACCAAAAACATTATAATGACCTACTAATTGATGCAAAAGTACTTTTCCCAAAATACGACTGCAACACAAAATTAATAGCGTTGCACAACTGCAAAATCTTCTCAGTTCACATATTTATATATATGATTTTGTGTATATGCAATTCAATTTTTGCTCAACAACGGAGGTTTCGCAAGTCGCACGTTTCGCAAATGGTTTTAGAGCATTAGTATAGATTTTTTCTTGAGGTCATTGCCAACATATTAAGGTATTACGAAACGTCTCTTTATGTGTGTGTTTTTTAACGTTTCGACTTTTACGGTGTGCAATATCAGTGCGAATTACTTGATTGATCGATATGCGAACAGCGCGTAGAAATGATTCCGCCTCTTCTCGCATGAATAATGCATAAGGATGGAATGTTTCGTTGGAGGAAAGAACGTTATGTGGTTCATTAAATACGAGGAAATGGTTAAATAACTTTGATTCAGTAAACATGAATGACAATCCACACAATTAAGCAATTTATTTATGTATTCCCAATTTTATTTATGTAGGTTTCCAAAAAAAAGCCTTTCAAAATTTTATTACAAAATGAAAATATATCAATGTTTAGTTACAAAAATTAAACAAAAATAAGTAGAGTAACACCTTCTATAGTGCGGATCAGTGCGGTTTGAAAATTTCAAAACAAACTCATTTTCAATTGAGAAACACAAAAATAAATTCTAAAAAATTATGCACAAAATGATCGACAATTTTCCTTTATATAGTAAAGTTTTTTTTGTTTCTCGATTAGTACGGTTTCAAACAGATATTGATGCAAAGTATTGCACAAAAAACTGTTACAATTGGCTACTAATCAAAAGTGTTCCCATCTTCAAATATTAATTTAAATTTATTTTTTAATTGTTTTGGAGAATTCTTATGTATTTAAATACATTTAATAATAATTATATAGTATTTTGATAAATAATCTTGTGTTAGTGGATTTACTGATTTTCTTGTATTTAAGATGCAACAGTGAGTGTACGAGTGAAGAGATCAATGATGTGTAGATTAGTTCATACATTATTCTGCACGTGTTTCCATCAAGGAGGAACGGAAGACCCGATGACTATCATCATGCAATTGGCAAGGAAATATCAAAAAGTCGAAGAACAATTGGTAAGTCAAATTTAATTAACAAGAAAATTTTGATGCAAAAATATAATATATTTTTAATAAATTAATCGACTAATTTTATTTGATAGAAAAAATCTGTATTTCTTGGTTTCAAAGTACAGCAATACCTCGAATAGTCCGGTTACAACTATAATCCGAACTAATCGAGGAACTAAATACCCAAAAATGAACCGCACAATAAGAGACTAGACTATATAATGTTATGCACTAACATTCTAAAATGTATTTCTATTTTGCTTAATTAATGTTTAGTTTGTTTGTGTGAACCCGGGTTATAATAGATATTGTTGTTCTAATTTTTTGCAAATCCATATTAAAATTCAAATCACGTTTAGTTAACTATGAGAAAACGTATTTTATTTCTAAAAATCCCAACAAATGTGTTGCAATTATGATTCATATCTTTTGCTAACCGACGTAAATTTGACTAATTTGCTGTGCAGTATATTTTAAAGTGGGTTGAATACATTTTCGTTCATATTTCTGTCGAGAATCAGAGTATTAACCTTCGTTTCTTTGTACTTTCCTCGATGAGTTTCCATTTGTTACCACACCTAAATTATACAAAAACCGACCGAATTGCCAATTCTTGAAATGCAATATTTATATTTAAACTTTCTTATCTCTCACCCAAGTTTGTTCAAATCAATTATTATTACAATTTTTTTTATTAATTTATATTGATAAATTTATTATTTTAATATTCATTTAAAATTTAAGAAAATATAAAAAAATATGTAAATAATCACATAATTAAGGGTAATAATAATATTTGTTGAAATAGTTTATTATACTATATCTTTGGGGACACTTGACTAGCAATGGGACCATAGTCTGCGGGCCATCGCGTAATACTATTTTGAAGCCTTTTTACTTAACTTTGGGTTAGCTGTGTGTTTTTTGGTGCAGGGTTTCAGCCCATACCTAAATTTGTACCTACTTAATTACCTACTCATGTACCTACTATTTAAAAAAAACAACATAAATTTTATTTTTACTAAAAAAGTATTATGTAAATGTAACAATCAAATAAAATATTATTATTTAACCAATAAATTTACTCAATTTTTACATTGATGAACAGATTGTAAATAAAATTACATGTCATAAAAAAATAACCTACTACACTCTCCGCACTTGGTCAGTACAATTTTAAATTTAATAGTTTGTTACTGTTTACGTTAGGCAACTTAATAAACACATACACTGACTAAATCTCAGGATCAACAAATAGAATCTAAAATTTGTTTAAAAACTATATGTTATTATTGTATATTCTTTACTACAATAATTTATGTTTTATTAATTTTATCTTTTTTTTTTAATTATTTATTTCATCAAATGATGTTTAACTTACAAAGGATTTATTTATTTAGTCTATACCTGTATAATACAAAGCATAAGACGCATCTTTTTTTTTACATAGAAAATTGACTTACAAATAGGATTACGTCGAAATATAATAGAATATTTTTTCTAAAAATTGTCCCATACATTCTGTGCATCTTATTGTAGGTAATTTTTATAATGTAAAATAGTATGTTTTAAATAGAGGTATCCCCCGACTTACGAACTAGTTCTGTTCCAAAGGGTTGTTCGTAAATTGAATTTGTTCGTCGGGAGAATTTTAAATTTCAAAATATACTTATTTTACCACACTTTATCAAGAAACAAATGCAACAATGGGGGGTCTATATCGCAGGGGTCAATATCGCAAGCCCGACAACCAAAAGACCGTCTATTGAAAGCCCGACGTTCGAAATCCCGACTACCATAATTTCGACAATCAAAATCCCAATTGTATCAAATTCCAGAATATATCGAAATCCCGACTACCATAATTTCGACAATCAAAATCCCGACTATATCGAAATCCCGACAATCTAAAACTTAATAAGATTATTAATTGTTGTTATTTATTTATGGTAGTCGGGATTTTGACATAGTCGGGATTTCGATATAGTCGTGATTTCGAACATCGGGATTTTGATAGACGGGATTTCGGTTGTCGGGCTTGCGATTGCCACCGGTAATAAGTTAGAGCTTTAAGAATTTTGTTCTTAAGTTATGGAGTTCGTATGTGGGGGGCAGGCTACTAGTATTTATTTTCTTAACGTTATATTACTATAGGCAACTAAATGTACACCTTTACAAAATATAGTTTTATTCAATTTGTTTTATTTTAGGCTTTAGATGGAAGATACGAGAAAAAGGAGGATTTCGCTGTTGTCCTTCAACCATTCATGAAATTATTTAATGCCCAAACTGATCCAGCTCACCGATACGACGAAGTCATAGATATTTCTTATATCACCCACGACTGTTTCCATTTCTCACAAAAAGGACATGCATTAGGTAATTACCTTAAAATTTATAAAATATTTATATTTTACATATAAAAAGTATGGTTGTTTCAACTATTCATTAATAAATATTAATAAAAAAAATATTTCCCTATTTTTAGGTAATAATTTGAATCAAAATTTAGAAACTTAATTATCATTATTTCATTTAAATTATCAAAAATACAAATTTTGCTACAAACATAAAATTACAGAAATAATTACAAAACAGAAAATAAAGTAAAATATAAGAAATTATTCTAATTACATCTTACATCTTTTTATTAAAGACATAACAGGACATATATTAGATATTGTCCCTAGATATTTCATATTTTTTAACTTTTGAAAATTTTAGATTTTCAAAGATCTCAAGAATACACTTTTTTTCTAACACAATATACCATTCTTATTATATATTTACAAACCTCTAACATATAAAAAACGGAAGACAAGACACTTATATCATTTATTAACAATACAAATTCTTTCAATCTGTACATTTTTCAGTCACAATTTATGAAATTCATGTGAACTAATAAACTATAAATAGATGTAATAAGAAACTACACCATATTATTAAGTTAATTAGTAAAAGTAATTTTCTAATTTGTAAAGATATTAACAAGCAATTAACGTTGCCTTCAGTACGTACTAAGAAATATTTAATGCGCGTGACGGTCGACGAACACAGAACGTATTATTATTGCATTCAATCAAACATTACATTTCAATTCGCAGAAAATTGAATGTTAATTTCACATGACACGTGACCAAAAAAAAGTACCTTTTTTGATAGAAGCTATCATTGGTTTTCTATGTTTATAATCATCAATACATTAAAACCTCGGTTGTCGAACATAATTTGTTAAAAAAGAATATTCGAAAATCGAATTGTTAAAAAATCGACACGAGAATTGTCGAAGCCCAGATGATTGATTATATGTATAGTAGAGCAGTGGTTACCAACCTTTTTTTGTGCAATACTCCACCAAAGCCTTTCTGAAATTTTTATGTCCCCTATGTAACATATACATAATACGCGGTTAAACTCTAGATGTGTTCAGTTTTGAATTGCCCCTGTGGGCCCCACATTGGGGAACACTGCTGTAGAGGAACCAAAATTCTGTTCAGAATTATTTTTCAAAAACCGATATATTTGGTAACCACATTGTTTGAGAACTGAGTTTTCATTGTATCAATAAAGTTATAGAAATGCCTCGCATAGTGCGGATTCATTATAGTACGGTTGTCAAAACAAACAAAATTTCAAACATCAATTTAGATAGTATTTTTTATGTCGTTCAGTTAAAATTGAGTTTGTTTTGCAAATTTCAAACCGTATTATAGCAAATCCGCACTGTTTGAAGCCACACTATGCGTGGTATTACTGTATTTGAAACAAGATAGAAAATGAATATGAGAATCTCGAAATGTAATAGTTGTAGATTAATTTATTATTGCAAAATACACATCAACAAGAAGACAATATAGATGTAACAATTTTTAAAGAAAGGAGGAAGAATTTAAGAAATTTGCAACCAGTATTGAACATCTTTAAATAAAAATATTTTAAAGATTCTTAAAACAATATCATCTAAATCTTATATACAAATTGCAACTTTGCATTTTTTTAATTACAATTTTAATTACAAGCTTTTAATTGAAAAGTAAAGGTTGTTAAATTAATTTTCATCATTATTTTTTTTCTTTCAAATAATAAATTAAATTATTATTAAAGTTTATTTTCAATTGAAACTTCCTAGAAATTAAGAAGTCACTTGATGATATTTCACATTTGATATTTGATATATTTATTACCTAGTCAATTATAATTACTGATTATTTCATAATTAATTGCTGGTGATTTTTAATAAATCAAAAATCCATTAAAAAAAGCCACGATTTTTATTGCTTTCTCTGAATCATCTGTTTAACACGTTTTTTTAATGAACACATGACTTTTTTTATAAACATTTTTTAAGTAGAAATTTTATAGCTAATTTTTGAATTTGTTGAAGAGATTTATTTCACAAAATAAAATCTTTGTAGTTAGATTAGTTTGATTCATTGATGGATTAAGATAATTTCTTGAAAAAATATATTATTTTCTTTGCTCAGCTGTAAATTTGTTGATTTTGAAAATTAATACTATAAACTTCATTAAATTTTATCAAAGTTATTACAAGAAATATTTACACTAATAACAATTTTCAAAAGTTTTTGAATTTTTACATTTTTATTTTGATTGGTTAAGAATCTCTGCAGATGTTATTTTTATTGATGTCATTAAATTTAATAAAAAAAAATGGTTTTAATCATATTGAAATTAACAAATCTTTCTACTTTAAAATCATTTTTTACAAGAATTCATTTAATAGACAAATTTAATTTCATCTGTGTTGATGATAAAATTCTAATTATTTAATTTATTCATCAATTAAGAAAAGTATTCAAAATTCTAATAATTCAATTTATTTTGCTAAAAATTTAATTTTAATGGTAAAAAAAATTAACAAAATATTTATTTATAATTGATTTAAATGTTTCAATTGAAATATGCCAAAAGTAAATTAAATTTTAACGACTAATTTATATACAATGGATAAATATAAATATAAATTAATGTATTATACGATAATTCGTTACATTTTGCGAGTAATTTTCTTACAATTTATTTTACTCGTTAAGCGAAATGCTCGGTATGCGAAGTGCTCGTTAAACGAAGTTCCACTGTACTAGTACAACGCAAGTATGAAATAATGGCGTAATAATAATACGTCATTTAACTGAAATTACAATATATAAATTATACTTTAATGGTAGTATTTTATAGTTTACTACAGTGAATATGACTCAACGAAGACGCACTGTGCGAGGTAGTGTTGTAATTTGTAAATGCTTATGATGATCACGGACTTAAATGAACCAATAACCAATAACCTATAATTTATATTTTTATGTTGTTTTTTATGGTTAAACTTCATGGAACAATTTTTCTACACGTCATTGGTTTTCGGAAAAACGATAATTGAATTTATGTCAAGGCATAAAATTCAAATATTATATTATATCAATAAATTTAGCTGTTATTCGTAAAGAAATTCATATTTTTCAAATTTTTAATTACAAATTCATTATTTTCTATAATTTCGTTTTCAAACAAAACATTTACAATATTTTATATTAATTAATATAATATTTTTTTGTAAATAAATTTCGGATTGAAACATATTAAAAATTAAAATGTTTTCTCTAATTTGGTTGAAATTCATAAATTAAAAATTAAAATATTGTGAATATGGTTTAATTTCAAAAAGAAAGTAGATCAAATAAAAAATATAAACAAAATTATGGCAATTTACATTGAGCATTGGTATTTTGTCTAAGTGTGTAGATATTCTTCATTGAGGTTATCTGTAGAATTGGGCAATTGTTCGATAAGGCGCCGTTTCCCCTTTGAACTCGACAGAAATTCGGGCTCAGAGATACGAGATTTAATGAAACATTTTCATGTTGAATGTAAATAAAGGCACGAGATAAGAGGTAGAAAGCCAACAATTCTATCGTTTTTTTTTTCTAACAAATATTCGCTTGATTAAATAACTTATCTGTGTGTATTTATAACTTGTAGGAGCCAACATGCTTTGGAACAATATGCTGGAGCCCGTTGGAAACAAGAGCGAGAAACGTTTGAATTACGTCCTTGAGAAGTTCAAATGTCCAACGCAGGAAGCACCATTCCTCTTCACGCGGAAGAATTCTGAGATGTATTTAAGGACAGGAAGACAATGGTATTAAATCTATAGAAGATTACTTAAGAACAGGAAGATTATGTAAAATGTGTTATGATGATTATTTTATATTAAATTAATTGTCTCATTTACCCAAGCAACTCTAGTCTGGAACGCAAAAAAACGGCGAATCCAAAATAAAAACATCATTTTTTGAATCTAAATATTTATACGTATTTTATAATTGAATTTTATAATAAATCTTTTTTATATAATATGATCCTGTTTTCATTAATTTATAAAATCATCAATTTTTACACAACTTTTTGCAAATTCAAGGTTAACATTGCAAGCAATTTAGATAGTTTTTCAATTCATTTTAATTAATCATACTGAGATTTTTTAATTACATTTAAATAATATATGTTGCAATTTATAAGAAATGTTGTTTCTAAACGCAAAATTCTTTTTTTTTACAAATAGTTGAAAATATCCATTAATAAATAAATGACAAAATATATGTTTTTCATAGAGATATAAATGTTAATAATGACTAATTATAATTCCTAAATAATTAAAATTTGAAGAAAAATGTACGTCCTATAGATTATAGTAGATATCAATTATTGTAAATCATTTAAATATATTCAGAAAATATATTTTTTTATTGAATACTTTATAACATAATATATTAGTTAAATTATACTACGAAAACGCCTGAAAAAAACGCAATAACTAGCTTAGGGCCGATAATTGAATTCGCCAATATCTCAAACTTTTTGAAGCCGGACTAATGGAGGACTTTAAAACCGAATGCGCGACAAGTCGTCGACGGAGATTTTAACATACTTGCTTACCCTTTAAAACCACGTAAAAAGAGAACTTGTGTTTTTCTAATTGTTAGAATTTGATATTATTTTGCTTAATAAAAATTTGTATTCTGTAATTTTGAAACTACTATTAGTGAATCCGGACTAATGAAAGCCGCACTATGCGAGGTATTACTCAACATACAATATATATGAGTTTATAAAATAGTTAAACTATCCTATTCTCAATTCACAGTTATGAAATTTTTATTAAAATTAAAAAAAGTTGTTTTGAATAAAATCAGACAATGTTTTTGAAGCCGGACTAATCGAGGACTATAAAATCGTATAAAAAGAGACTTTTTTTTTCTAATTATTAGATTTTCTTTAATAAAAATTTGTATTGTGTAATTTTCAACCCGTACTCAAGTAAATCCGGACTAAAGGAAGCCCTACTATGCAAATTATAGTTGTACCTACAATATAACTGAGTTTTTAAATATTTAAACTATCTTATTCTCAATTCACAGTTACGAAATTTCTATCAAATCTTAAAAAAAGTTGTTTTAAATTAAATCAGGGAATTCAAAGGATTTATGCATTCTACTAATAATTCGTTTAGTGCGGGTAACCGGGTTCGCTAAGATCTAAAACTTCTTGAAGCCGTACTAATCGAGGACTTTAAAACCGCATAAAATAGTTTTTTTTTTACTAATTATTTGAATTTGTTTAATAAAATATTGCATTCGGTAATTTTCAAACCGTACTATAATAAATCTGGACTAATGGAAGCCGTACAATGTGAGGTTTTGCTGAACTTAAAATATACATGAGTTTATAAAATTGTTAAAATTTCCTATTCTCAATCTACAGTTACGAAATTTCTATCAAAACTAAAAAAAAAGTTGTTGTAGATCGCATAAAAAAAGTCTTTTTTTTACTTATTATTAGAATTTGTTTAATAAAAAAAATGTATTCGGTAATTTTCAAATCGTACTATAATGAATCCGGACTAATGCTAATTACAATATACATGAGTTTATAAAATAGTTAAAATATCCTATTCTCAATTTACAAAAATTACGTTACGAAATTTCTATCAAAACTAAAAATAACTTTGTATTTTTTTTGTGTTTACAAAAAATATTACTTTGCTATATAAAGTTTTAAAAATGCATTCAAATTTTGTTATAATATTCGAATAAGAAACAATACTGTATACTTGAAATTAATGATTTTCGTTTCATTAATTTTAAAATAAAGAAATCTACACGATTTTATTCAAATATATAAAAAAACTAGTAAAAATTCATTATTATTATTAGAATTCATTAAAAAAATACCAGTTTTTATACAGTAATATAAAAAAAATAGAATGTTATATATTTAATTTGAGTCATCATATGTAAATAAAATAAACCGCTAATTATGGATAAAACTTATAGTATTTTTCATTAATTGTTTTAATAATAAAAATTGTTTTAAAATACTATAGTTTTCGATAATCATTGCATCTATTTTCTCGTTTTTTTTTTTGGATTACTAAGATAATTGTAGTGAATTAAATGTTAATTAATCAAATGTTAATTGTTAGAGTGAACATAGATAATGCATTATAAATTAATTTAAGTGTTAATTGATTTTCTTGTTGAAACGAGTCAATTAGCTTCCAAATTTAAAATGAATTCAAAGAAAATCGAAATTGATTATGAATTTATCAAAATATAAAATTGTTACTTGAAGATTTCATAATCAAAAAGTGATTTATTTTGACAAACAATAAGAAAATTTTATATATTACCTTTTATTAATAAGTTAATATATAAAATTATAAACTATTAAAGATAAAATACAAATTTAAAATTCATCTAAAATAATAGAATATTTATTGAAATGTTAATTCATTTGAAGCATATCAGTTTGTTAATAGCAGAAAAATTTATGAGAATTGTCATATTGATAAAATTTAGTATTTTGTTACAAAACATAGATATTAAATATTTAATAGAAATAAATAGTTTTTCAATCCGTTTTTTATTTAATATCAATAATTCAAGGGCTAGACTGTATAGAACAAAAAACGGATCATTTAGGTATAGAGAATATTTGTATGTATTATTTTTTTCCAACTTATTGCATCTGTATATAAAGCTTCAGTTAAAATTGATAGAAAAAACATACTGTAAACACTGAAATTAAATAATATTTGAAGAATGATAAGAGCTACAGTAAAAAGTAAATATTTTCTCCGCATTTAATGAGTGATTTATGTACACAATCAATAGAAACGTCTATATATCTAACTGATAATCAAAAATATAATTAAATTATTGAATTTAGGGCGACTAATAACCGAATGGTTTAGTCGCTCTACCCACGTGGTAGTGGTCACAGGGTCAAATCCTGGTCAAGCCAGGCCCTTGTGAGCATTGTGAGCCATCTCGGTGCTTGCAGCAATAGGGCCATCGTACATCACAGATGGATGAGTTTCGGCATATGAACCTTCAGCCAAGTCGATGGACAATGAGAGTGTTAAGGTTAGCAGTCATGTTAACTATTCACCGGGAAAGATTACCTACCTAATGTCAACCGCGATCTTAAATTTACTTAAAGAAAAAATTGAATTTGATCATTTATATCTGCTTCAAAGCACTGACCTGATCTGCTTGATATCACATTTATTTTATTTGCATTTTCTTTATTTTTTTAACTTCATTTTATATCTAATTATTGCAGAGATTATAAATTTTAATGATGACTCAATTAAATCTACTAATCACTAAGTGTTTCCCATTTAGATTCACGAAAAAATCATTAAATTCCTGAAACAGCATAAAGCGAGACCGAATAATGACCAAGGGTTATCGCTCGCCTGTTCAACGATTTCTCGTACTCAGCATTGTTTAACTCTATAAAAATACAAATCACAATTTTTATAATTTTCAGCTGATTTTAAATCATTCTTATTAATCTCTAATCTTGCGAAATGCTAAAGTTGGTTTTGACTTGTTCCATTTATATATATATTTTTTTTTTGCAAACTTGATTAAATCATCAGACTTTACCTATTAATAATGAGTGAAATTAAATATACGATCACCGTTATTTGTTAAAAAAATACATTTTGCGCTCATTCTTTGCAGAAAAATAAAATATAATTGGTTGGTTTCTTTTTACAAGTGTATTATAATTTTTAGAAACTTGTTACGTAAATAATTTTTAACTTGATTACTATAAAAAAGTGGTCTACAAATTTTATTGTTTAGGGTTCAATGAGTCGACAATGTTTTAAAACCACGTCTATAGACCAATAAATATTGTATTTTTTTTATAAAGTAACATATTTTGTTAAATGGTTATGCAAGCACAATTTAAATTATTTGCTATAGACCACTGGTCTTCAAACTGAGTTTTGAGTTGAGATGTTAATGTTTGATGACCACTTCTATAGACCAATAATTATTTTATTTTGATTAATGTAATATTAGGCTTCATAACTTTAAAAATAACTTCTGTAGACTAAAAAACTATTTGTTTAAATTTACAGTTGTCTAATATAGACAAATCTTCAAACTGTATTTTGGTTATAAGTCCACAAACTTTGAAGACCACTTCTGTAGACCAAGTGTCGTTTAAGTTTCAAATTTAAAGTTAGTTAATGTTTTAATTTATTTCTTAATTTTGATGATTTGTAAGTGGACAATCTTTGAAAATAACTTTTGGTTTAAGTTTCAAATATAAAATTTATTAACGTAGACTACAAGTTTTGAAACTGTATTTTGGTTGATTTTTATGGTTTTTTAAGTGGATAAATTTTGAAGTCCACTTCTGTAGACCAATAATCATTTGGTTTAAGTTCCAAATTTATAGTTGATTAATATAGACAAAATATTTTCAAACTCTATTTTAGTTGATTTTGATGGTTTCTTAAGTCGACAACCTTTGAAGACCACTTCTGTAGACCAATGATTAGTTGGTTTAAGTTTAAACTTTATTAATGTAAACGTTTGTAGACAAAACATAAATTTGATTAATATAGATGACAGTGAAAACCTGTAACTATAATTTTAATGGTTTCGTGAGTCGACAATGAATACCACTACTGTAGGTCATGGAAAGATCGTAGTTCTTAATTGATGAGAAACGATTGTAAGTTCAAAAATAAACGTATTTATTTATAAATTGCATTGGAGATTGGACGAAGAATGAACTCAGCAAAGTGAAAAAAATATATCAAGTACGAATTAATTTAAGACATTTATCATGTTGTTAATGTATTTTTTTTGTTTCTTAATAGAAAGATTATCTATACGGTGACCCTTGGTGCTGATTGCGCAAATCGG